TGTAACTTGAAACTTTGGAATTTCTTTAAAAATAAAAAATTGCACTGGGCCGCATTATGAGCCAACCTGGGCCGCATGCGGCCCTCAGGCCGCAGGTTGGACAAGCCTGCTCTAGGCGAATAAGACATAAATTTTCAATTCTGAATTTCTCTTCTATTAGCCTTTGCCATTGTCTTCATATATTTGTTGCTGTAGTAGTAGTTGTTGGGTTTTTTAAAGGCTTTGCCATAATCATATTATGTGTAGTACAGTGGGGTCTTGACTTAAGAACGGCTCGAGTTAAGAACATTTTGACTTAAGAACTGCTCTCATAGAAAAATATTGACTTGACTTACATACTTAGATTTGAGTTAAGAACTGAAAAAAAAACCCACGTGGGAGGCAGGGAAAGTGCAAAATTTGAACTTTCAGTTAACTGTTGGCCAGTGAAAAGGGTGCCTGTCTGCTTCCTCACTCCTCCCAGCGTTTAGAGAGTGGATTGGGAGACAGTCTTCAGACTGCCTGGTACTGCCTGGACTGTATTTTCCCTGCCTTCCCTGAACCTTTCTTGACCTAAGAAAAAAAAGAAACAAAATATCCCCCTCTAGTGGTCGAAGGCGGAATAGCAGCTTCCCATTAGTTTCTATGGACGGAAAAGAGCAGATACGGATCAAATGGTTTTCAATGCATTCCTATGGGAAATGCAGATTTGACTTGAGAACTTTTTGACTTGAGAACTGCCTTCCAATACGGATTAAGTTCTTAAGTCAAGACCCCACTGTAGTAATAGTCATATGCTGCCTGTGGGTATGGTAATACCTTTGCAGACCTTTTTTGCGAATACTGTACATTTCATGCATTCCCAAGTAACTTGGAACAGAAGCATTTTACTCAGTAGTACAGAACCAAAAAGCTTTCTCTTCCCTGTTTAATGAAAAAGAAATACATAACACATCTAGGGATCTACGAAGTTAAGCCAGCTATTGTTTTTGCAGTACTCCAATCCAACCTCTTGGGCAGCGGACAGGGTGTGAGAATAGAACAGGAGCTTGCCTCTAATCAGAACAGCTCTGAAGCAGGGAGTGAAAGACTGATCTCATTTCTTGTCTGTGCTCTAAACTCAGAAAAGAAGCTTGGTGACGCAGCATCCATCCTTGATACTGTGCAGCAATTTGAAGAGATATTTGGAGCTGGCCAGACATCACATGGAAGGGAGCTAAGCTCTTCTTGTTTGAAGTATTGAAGACTGTCTTTCTCTAGAAACTTTTCCTATAGGCAGCAAAAGCAGGAGAGGGGTTGAGCACTTGCTCCCCACTCACTGCCCTTGCACTCTCTGGAAAGGGAAGAGCTGCTATCATACTTCTTTGCCAAAGCAGCCATTGGCCGACCAACTCTTCTTGTGTGATCAAGCAAGCATGCTCTTCTGTCTTTCAGGCTGCTAAAGCAACACATTGACTCTGAAGTACAGCACAAAAATACTGATAACATTTCATCCTGAACTCCATGCTTTAGAGGGGCTTTTCGAATGGAATTAAAGAGGTATTCTCATTGCCAAAGTGCTGTAATGATATTATGTCAGAAATGAAGGAAAATACATTCCTCAGAGGGGAAATTGGCAACTGTGGCAACTACATTTATCGATTTTCAATGTAATTCAAACAACAGTGTCTTGTGGTACCTTAGACACTAAAACACTTTATTTGGCATAACTGTTCATGAACTGCATCCCACTTTAGTAGATGCAACTGAAGAAGTGGGTAGTGGTCCAGGATACGCTTATATCAAATGAAATGTTTAAGGTACTAAAAAACTCTTCATGGCATGTGTTGCAGCAAATTAACACGTCTACCTCTTTTAAAACCGACATCATTTTCATCCTTACAGTTGACGGCAAAGTGCAGCAAGTACTCACATTTTCGAGGAGTTTAGAATAGTAATCTGCTGAAGTAAAGCCAAGAGTTGAAATAAAGTTGTTAATATCTGTGTCTTGGTATCCCAATCCAAAAAATGAGAGCAGATAGCACAATGAACTCTTGAAGAAAAAACAAAATACAGAAATGCTTTGTTAAATTGTACAGATCCATTCCAAATAATGCCTTCAGTCTTTATTATTAATTGATAATTTATATTATTTATATGCCACCTCTCTCTCCATAGACTGAGGACCCATGGCGGCTCACAACAGATAAAATTGTTAAATAGTTTTAAAATAATATATTAATAATATAATATAAAAATATATTAAAAACCAATGAAACTGATATTAAGACTAAAAATAATTATCAGGCTTTAAAGACTCTGTACTCCTGTTCCAATGCTCCCGACGTTGGGATTCCAAAGGAGCCTTGAAATCTGGGCTGGCCGAGTGGTGAAATAAGAAGCTTTTAACAAGTGATAAAAATCTGTGCCTAATGAGGTCATCAGCTTCCACAGGCATCAATCAACTTTATGCAAGAGGATTTTGGCCATTGTAAGCACTGTTTCAGATGTACACGCTCTTGTGTGTAATTTATTCAACTTCATATTTTTACATGCATTTTCTTTTTTTGCAATGAAAACATTTTAAAAGTACAGATTTCAATCTGCATTGTGGTTCAGGTTTACAAAATACAATTTGGTAATTCAAAATCAAGATGCAAAATGAACTAGTTTTTCTCCCATCTTCATCTACAGTATGAGTCCCAGATAAAATGTGCAACAAAATGCAAAAGGGTGTATCTCATTTAACGCAAACAAAAGATTCACAAGTATTTTACTAGTTATTTGCAATGGTTACAAAATTATTTAAAATATGCAACTTTGGTATATAGCATGATAGCATGAAATATAGAAAAACACATTAAATTGTTAAACAAGTATAGCATGAGAAGCACACCCTCAATCTTTGTCAGTTGTGGATTTTCTTCTTCCTGGAGCACAAGCTGAACACACTTTCAAGGATTTGATTAAGAAACAAGTCAAAATACTTATTCTAGCTACAATTCATTCAAAGAACAACTATTACACTGCCATCTAGTGGGTAATATTAAAACTGACAAAATGAAAAAGCAAGAGCAGCAGTAACCAAATTCCAAAAATAATTTAAAACAAAACAAACATAATACTATTTACTTTTTTGACTTGTACTCATTTTACACCACCCATCTTGTATATCTGGTACAGAGCTTCAAAGTAGTATTTAATTGAACAGTCCTCCTCCCTAGCTAACTAAATTAAACCTTGCACACACTGTCTTGCAGCCATCATTCAGTAGGTGGAGTATTGCACACATTCCAGAGCCTTGGACTTGCTTCCAGCCATCAAAAGGCCATCAATCAGGAACTTCTTGTCTGCCATAAAAACCAAAGAGTAATAGCAATAGGGCTCAAGTTTAATAATATTTTGCAAGTCAATGGTTTCAGCTTCAAGTCCTGGCATTTCTAGATAGGGCTGGAAAATACAGACTGTGGTGAGCCACTACCAGTTAGTATAGCCCAGAGGTACATAACCTGCAGAACACATGAAATGTCTGTTTTTGGGTTCTAAGACCTGCTCTTATTATTCGTCTCAAAGACAGAAACACCTTGCGGCTTGAAGAATGGAGTGTCTTGCCACCATGTTTTGGAAAGTGGATTGCTAGTGTGCATGAGGAAAAGCAGCTGTTGTTAGTATCTCCAGGATCAAGACTGGAATTGGAGAAGAGAGGAGACTTCCTTTACTGTTACACAGGGGAACATCACTGGTTGAAAGAGGGGGCCACTTGAAGGCATTTGATTTTCACATGCTCTGTTCTTTAAACAGGGTATCTTCCTCTTGAGTTACAGTATGCTGTATATGCCTGAAATGTCTGTCTACAATGTAGGGATTTATTCAATTTGATTTTCACATGCTCTGTTCTTTAAATAGGGTATCTTCCTCTTGAGTTATGCTGTATATGCCTGACATGTCTGTCTACAATGTAGGGATTTATTCGATTGCATGCATACATGCACATGCATACGAAGATGCAGGGTTTTTTCTTAATGGCCTGTGAATATCTTCATATTCTCAGAAAAAAAATTCTTACGCTCTTCACTGCCAAAAGAGCAATCTTTCACTAGGCACCTCACAACATCCCATCTTCAACCTAAACAGTCTGTGGCTGAAATCCAGTTGTAAGTCACAACTAGAGTAGGCCTACTGAATGACTGGGGTTTAATGAGTCAACACCTATATTCCACTGATTCAGTGAGTGCACCCCAGTTGCGACTTCAGATGTCAGCTTTTGACGCAGAAAGCCCTATGCAAGATTTGAAAATGTTCATCCTGCCTCCACAATTAATCATGTTTGTATTTCATATGAGCCAATATATTCTTGAACATTCCTGTTCATTTCCCTCCTTGGATTCCTGTATCAAATTCATTTATATGTGCCTCTTTATTTCTGATATCAATTCCAGAGTCAGCACTTCGTGCACAGCAAAATTTAAAAACTTGGCTCTTCAGGCAGGCCTTCCCTCCTGTCAATTCTTGAATTCTATCTTTCTGTTCTTTCATTCCCCATCTTGATCATACTATATTATTGTTTAAATGCTTTATGATTATGAGTGTTTTTTATTATGATTGTGATGTTTTTATTGTTATTTAATGTTATTTAATGATTTTGTAAGCCAGCCCAAGTAGACGCTGTCTGGGGGGGGGGTATAAATCGAATGAATAAATAAATAAAATCGTCTTCAAATGTACAGCAAAGCCAACTTTCCTAATGCAGAAAAACAGTGCATCTATGTAACTCAGTATGAACAAACTGTATACTTTGCATATACAGAGCTATTGACAAAATGAACAGGAGAACCAGCACTTGGAAAAGTTACTTCTTGATCACTAGCTCCCAGTATCCCTCAGTCAGCATGGCCACTTGTGTTATAAATGCAGTTCACATTATGAATTTTGGTGCAGATACAGGTTTCAATCAATAAGTTCTGTGATGATATGCAAATACAGTGGTGCCTCACACAACGATGTTCCAAAAAAATCAACGTTGTGTGAAACATCGTTCTGTGAAACACCATTTCCCATAGGAATGAATTGAAAACCGGTTAATCCGTTCCAATTGGAACAGATTGCCGTCTTTAAGTGAAAAAACCCATAGGAAACATCGTTGAGTGAAACAATGTTTCCTCCATTGGAATGTATTGAAGCCGACTCAATACATTTCAATGGCTTTGCGAAGTCCTTTTTCGCTCCTGTAAAAGTGCCTTACAGTGTTTGGAACAGGTTTTAAATGCTTG